AGATATTAAGTGCTGCAAAGTTCTCACTTCGGATGATTTTCAAAAATTTCAGAGTATGACTGAGCAGAAGTCACAGGGGGTCCGGGATTTGATAAATAAGCGGTATGACAAGAAATTGCTTAGATATAGGATAATAAGACAGCGCATTATCAAAACAACCCTGGCCAATTTTGATGGTTCTGCATTGAAGGCATCAACTGCTAAAACCGACTATAGGGATAAGGTAGTAAACCAGTCACCAATTCCTGTTGATTCCGAAACGGTGGATCTCCTGAAGATAGGGTTAAATTTTTTAATCAGTAACGAAGGTTGCATTTTAGAAGATATCCCTGTAGAAGTTACCAGAAGAGATCAAACGGGAAATGGAAATGGAATTAATCTTAAGAATTCTGTCATCTAAAGCCAATGGAAAGGAGGGGATTGATGAAGATACATATAAAATTACAAATGAATGACCAAATAGTTCTTCAGACGGATAAGGGAGGCGCGACGGTGATAATGGACAGGAAACAGTACACGGAGAAAATGGAAGGTGCCATAGGCGACCGTAACACCTATCAGATAGTAAGAAAAGATCCAACAATGAAGATCAACAAAACACTAAAGAATATGCTAAAAGAAATGCATAATAATGGGGAAATTGACAGATGGAGGATGAACTCTTTAATCAAAAATGACGCAAGACCACCCAGCCTACGGACTACAAAAGATATACAAGAAAGGAAATCCGCTACAACAACCATGGAACAACATACAATCTATCGAAATTCATTTGGTTGAAGATCAAGAACTTCTCACTTGTTTACATTTCAATCGTCAAAATGTGTGCCAGTTTGTGGCAAACCTAGTGTGGCCTAATCACACAGGCAATTTACCCGGTCCCCTCTCTTTCGAGGGGCTTATCCGACTCGGACCTCCAATCCGGATCCTTTTATTGTCTCGTAGATCCGTTCCTTATCTTTCTGGTTAACCGATTTCTCTCGGGTCCAGCCCCTGTGGGCATTTCACTCCAGGCGTTATTTCTCAAGGCCATAGAAACACATACACTGCCGCTTCACTGAGCGGAAGTGAACCCATGCTATCTGAGCAAACTGTGGACGCCTAACTCTGGTCGCATGCGGCATCTCAAGTGGATTTCTAGTACATTTTGGACATAACGCGAGTTTTTGTGACAATGTTCTTATCCGTCTGTCCAGCTCCCTGACTGCCAGGCCCCCAAAGTTGTAATGGTTTATTCAAAAGGCCATCACTCACTGACAACGTCTTCGCTTAATTGCCGAATACCCCTGCCCCAACTTTCGTCATCGCAATCCCTTTTCCTCCGGTTAGCGGCAGATCCTTGTTCCAGGCTCTATTGCTTTCACCGATTTTGCTTAGGCAATAGGCAAAGTTATCGCTAACTCTACCTTCCTCCAATCTCCCGTTCATTAAATTTGTCTCCCCAAGGATGTCAATGACCTCCCTA